CACCCACCAGTGCAGCCCAGCAGTGCTGCCAGTCAGTGCCACCAGTCAGTGCCCAGGGGTTGTGCCAGTCAGTGCCGCCAGTCAGTGCCCAGAAGTGATGCCAGTCAGTGCCGTCTATCAGTACCCATCATCAGTGTCACCTATCAGTGCCGCCTATCAGTGCCGCCTATCCGTGACCCCTAATTAGTGCTGTCTATCAGTGCCGCCTATCCGTGCCACCTCATTAGTACTGCCTATCAGTGCCCTTTAGTGCTGCCTATCAGTGCCCATCAGTGCCGCCTATCAGTGCCCATCAGTGCCGCCTCATCAACGCAAATCAGTGAAGGAGAAAAAAATACCTGTTTGAAAAATTTTATAAAAGAAACAAATAAACTTTTTTTTTTTTTTCAAATTTTTTGCACTTTTTTTAATTTATAGCGCAAAAAGTAAAGCGCCCAGTCGCGATTAAATACCACCAAAAGAAAGCTCTATTTGTGAGAAAAAAATGATCAAAATTTCATATGGGTACAATGTTGCATGACCGCGCAATTGTCAATCAAAGTGCGGCAGCGCTGAAAGCTGAAAATTGGCCTGGTAAATAAGGGGGTATAAGTGCCTGGTAGGCAAGTGGTTAAGGAAACCCCTGTAGTGGCGGCGGTCTCCATTAAACTTAGATGGTTGGGGCTGGGGCATATGTGAGTTGGTATCATCTCGGTTCAGCAGTTGTCTCTGCAGACAATCCACAATGCTTTCTAGTTTGGCAACTTTTTCTTGATGGGTAACCCGAATTCCTGCAGCTCAGCAAGTTGCTGCCTAAGAGGAGTCACAACACTTGCTATAGCGGCCTCCTTGTTTGGGCCAGATTATTCTGTCATGGTCTAGGTCAGGTTCAGAGACGAGTTGTCAGGAATGGACTTGCCAATAGTGGTGGGACTCACCTGCCTTGTGGGCTGCAGTACCAGGGCTGGCCAGCGGGTGTTCTCAACAACCAGAGGTTCACTTTGGCAATTAGCCATCACCTGGGGCTGATTGCAGGTGGTGTATTTAAGGGATGGCCAGACCTGCATTCTGTGCCTTGGTGTGTGTTTTTTCCATGGGCCCCTGTATCTTGTAACCTGCATTCCTGTTCCTGTTTCTGCCTGACTTGTTGCCGACCCTGCCTGATCCTGACCTCTGCTGACTTCTCCTGATTTGATCCCTGGCTTGTGACCCCGACCATTCTCTGCCTGACCCCCTGTACTTACCTGTCCGTAAGTTGCTGTACCCGGCTCGTGACCTGACTACTCTCTGCCTGCTCCTCCTGTACCTACCTGCCCGATAGTTATCGACCCGGCCTGCCTGACTACGTTGTGCTCTATATGTGTATGTACCTGGGTATCTGTATATCAGTTTAGGTTTGGGTTTGTTTCACCTTGTTGTATGTATTTGTGTTAGCTTGGGGTTTGGTGCACTGCGTTTATATTTGTATTGTTAGTCTTAATAAATTGTCTTATTTATACCATATCTGAAGCCTGCGTTTCCCTGTGTCAGTCCACACACCTCTGGTCACACCCGCATCCATGACACGAGTTGCTATTGCAGTGTGAAGGCTTACCTGAAACCAGCAGGATAGGTACACAGGCAGGTCACCCTGGGAAAGGACTCAGGCTCACCTGAGGTGCGAGGTCTAAGCACCAACCGGTTTTCACCAGAGCTCCTAATGGTGGAGATGGATTTGGCTGCGTGTTGATACCAGGTCGCAGATCTCAGGATCACCCCACCAGGGAATGAGCAAGCCGGAATCCAGTAGCAGATCGAACAAGTAAAGGATCAAGCAGAAGCGGAGACAGTCAACAAGCCAAGGGTCGGTCACAAACAGTAGTAGATGAGGATGAGGCAAAATTGTAGTCCAGGAACAAGCCAAAGGCTAGTAACGAAGGTATAGACGGTAGCAGGAGAGACAAGCGAGATACTGGCTGATGAAGGCACAATAATCTGGCAAACAGGAAATGCAGAGGCATGGCTTTTATCAGGAAGTTCATGGGAGGAGCAAGGGGTTCAAGGTTCAAGACAAACAGGGCCAAGGCAGGATCATCCAAAGAATTGTCAAGGGAGCTGTCCAGCATTCCAGGTGGCTCAGCAAGAAGAAACATTGCCTCTCACCGCAGAAGGCCCAGGTTCGAACCCAGGCTCTGACAACTGGACTGATCCTGAAGACCACCATCATTAGGGTATTGACTCCTCCCTCATTATCACTTTCTATTTAAGGATCCAAAGTTGGAGGATGTTATCACATTATTATCACCATGTAAGTCTGTGCTCCAATCACATCATCCGATATATAATGTCCAGCTGGTAGGAAATGGGTGTAACGAAAGAGAATCCATATTATGTGTATGTATAGCAGTGGGGGGAGGGGGAGAGCAGAAGTCAGGACTATGGAATGTATAACATATTGTATAAGATACAACAGAGAGGACTATATAGTGCAGGGGTCAGGAGTATGTAATGTACAACATAGAGTATATAGTGCAGGGGTCAGGAGTATGTAACAACATAGAGTACAACATAGAGTACATAGTGCAGTATGTAATGTACAACAGGGTATATAGTGCAGGGTAAGTAATGTACAACACAGAGTATATAGTGCAGGGGTCAGGAGTATGTAATGTACAACATAGAGTATATAGTGCAGGGGTCAGGAGTATGTAATGTACAACATAGAGTATATAGTGCAGGGGTCAGGAGTATGTAATGTACACCATAGAGTATATAGTGCAGGGGTCAGGAGTATGTAATGTACAACATAGAGTATATAGTGCAGAGGTCAGGAGTATGTAATGTACAACATAGAGTATACAGTGCAGGGGTCAGGAGTAAGTAATGTACAACATAAGAGTATATAATGCAGGGGTCAGGAAGTATGTAATGTACAGCATAGAGTATATAGTGCAGGGGTCAGGGTATGTAATGTACAGCATAGAGTATATAGTGTAGGGGCCAGGAGTATGTACATGTACATCAGAGTATATAGTGCAGGGGTCAGGAGTATGTAATGTACAACATAGAGTATATAGTGCAGGGGTCAGGAGTATGTAATGTACAACATAGAGTATATAGTGCAGGGGTCAGGGTATGTAATGTACAACATAGAGTATATAGTGCAGGGGTCAGGAGTATGTAATGTACATCAGAGTATATAGTGCAGGGATCAGGAGTATGTAATGTACAACATAGAGTACATAATGCAGATATAAGGACTTTGTAACATGCAACATAAATTGTATAGTGCAATGGTCAGGGCTCATAATATTGGCATTGTGTAATCAGTGGTAACTTGAATGCTTACTTAACTGAGACAAGTTGCAGAGGTCCCACACCGCTGCCTCCCATCTCCTGAGACTGCACTCAGTGACTTGGGTCTGAGACTATACAGACATATCCCTCCACCCGGCACAGCCAGCAGACCACAGAACAAGTAACCCTGGGAGAATTGTTCTGTCAGAGATCTTGCTAGACCCGGGCCTGGGGCAGAAGAGCTAAGGCACACACCCCAAGTGCCTAAATTAAGTAACACCTATGGTGTAAATCAACATTTTTTCTGCCAGCTGAACCCCAGAATCTCCATAAATCCAGTCTAGATACATAAATTGTGTCTGCAGCACAGAGAAGGAAGATTATCCGAGAGAAATCCAGGAATACAGGACGGGGAACACAGCTCAGGCAAGTGACCAGGGGATTACAGGCTGATATCACCCAGTCCCCGCCCTACTCTGGACCAATCAGTGAGCAGTATGGGTGGAGGAATGGATTTAGTGTTCATGACCCACCTGTGCTGATCTCTGTAGGAGTGTCCTCCTCTATAAATGTCCCCGTTATTCCATCCTCCTCCATAGACTGCTGATCATCCCTCACATACGCCTCTTCTTCTTCTGATTTAACTTCATCTTTTATATCTTTAGGATCTTCACCCTAAACCAAGAGAATGATGGAAAATAAAATCGATAAAATATAAACATTAACCCATTGCCCTCCTGAGGAATTCTCCCCCATTCCTGACCAGGCCATTTTTTTGCGATACGGCGCAGAGTTACTTTAACTGACAATTGCGCGGTCATGCAACGCTGCACCCAAATGAAATTTTCATTCTTTTTTCCCCCACAAATTGAGCTTTCTTTTGGTGGTATTTGATCACCTGTGCAGTTTTTATTTTTTTTACTACTATAAATAAAAAATGAGCGAACAAAAAAATATTTTTGACTTTTTGCTATGAAACACGTCCAGTAAAATTTTTTTTAAAAAAAATCAAATTTCTTCATAAATTTAGGCCGAAATGTATTCTGCTCCATGTCTTTGCTAAAAGAAAATCCCAATACGTGTAAATGAATTGGTTTATGTGAAAGTTATAGGGTTTACAAATTTGCGGTATAGATACTGGAATTTTTACTAGTAATTGCAGTGATCAGCAACTTATAGCGGGACTGCGGTGGGCATTCTCACACTGGGGGGAGCTAACTTGGTGTCACTGACATCCCTAGTGACACCAATACAATAAGTGTTAATAAAAAGCACTGACACTGTACTAATGGCACTGGGTATGAAGGGGTTAACATGAGGGGCGATCAAAGGGTTAACTGTGCTGTTTTACACCATATTCTGTGTTTGCGCTTCACTTTAAGCACACTGCTTTGCATGGTTATGCTGTGCACAGCCATGCAAAGCAGTGTGCAGGAGCTGACAGGGAGGAGAAACTGTTTTATTTACTAACAGTTCTTCCCCTCCGTCGGAGATCCTCAGGAATCACCAGGTGGCAGCGAGTAATGATGATTGACAGCTATGGCCGCAAATTGCGGTGCGGGAAGAGTGAGCGCGCCCCCTACCCGGAAATGAAAAAATACATAGATGTGATTTTGTGCACCGCTGCCACCCTGTAGCAGTATTTCTGCTGTGGGGCGGTGCTAAAATGGTTAACATAGTGACATCATATAAAAGGAATCCACACATCATCTCCACAAGTCCATGTTCCATATGCTGCGTCCCACCAACCTTGTCATGGTGAGGGATGGTGTGATCTTCCTGTGTGGAATCCCGGGAATACAGAGGACGGGGACATCTCTCTGGTGGGTTCCTGGTATTAGGTGGCTCCATCATATCCTTGTGTCCTTCTGAGAACTCCTCCATCACTCCATACTCCTCATCCTCCTCTTTATACTCTTCTTTAACATCATCAATATTATCATCCTCGAGGATTCCACTCTGAAAGATATAATAAAACATTCATTGTAACAAACATGCTGTGTATAAATCACAACTACCAATAATTGTCATCATCTACCTGATGATGGTGAGGGATGGTGTGTTTCTCTGGTGGGTTTCTGTAACTGAATGACTCCACCATGGTGTCCTGGTACAGATCTTTGTGTTCTTTTAGAAACTCTGACTCCTCCATCACCCCATCCTCTCCATCCTCCTTTTTTATCTCTTCTTTAACCTCAACTGTAGAATCTCTCAGGTTTCCACTCTGAATATATAATAAAATGACATCAATGGTAACAATGCAGATAATGTACAGATCCTAATGATACTATCAGTGATTGTTCCTCATCTACCTGATGATGGTGAGGGATGGTGTGACCTTCCTGTGTGGAATCCCGGGAATACAGAGGATGGGGACATCTCTCTGGTGGGTTCCCATGACTGGATCCATCTGTAGGAAACACACACACTGACTGAATCCATTGTTTCTATGTGTTTATCAGATGATGGGGGATCTAGGTGGATCCTCCGTACTGCTCTCTCCTTTACAATAAAGTCTCCTCTTACCCGGTGATGTGAGGGGCGGCTGATTGTCCATCATGACGTCCTTGTAGAGATCCTTGTGTCCTTCTAAATACTCCCACTCCTCCATGGAGAAATAGACAGTGACACCCTGACACCTTATAGGAACCTGACACACACAATGATACAGTCACCATCCAGACACATCCCTTGTCTGTTACTGGAGAATGTCCCAGAATTCCCGGCACCGCTCACCTCTCCTGTCAGCAGCTCAGTGATCTCTCTGGTGACTTCTAGAATCTTCTTCTTCTTTCTCTCTTCTATCAGGGAGGGAGGTGGAGGCAATGTGATGTCATATGATCTCCAGACTTCACAGGAGGAAAACTCTACATCTGAACACAAATAGTAACATCAAATGATATTCCCAGAATCCTCCTCACCTCTTTGGTCAGGTCTCCATTTAAAGCCCTACTTCAGGCTGTGGTATAATTTACCTACACAGGACCCCCCACTGCATAGGTTGAAAGCTTGTAGCAGGCATTTTAACATCATTGCATACAATGCAGAACCAACAGTCCTGCTTTCAGATAAGGATGCTAAGGGTTAATCCAAATCATAGAGCATTGAAATAAGAGAAAAGAGCCGGATGGAGAAACATTGGGGGGAGGAGCTGTGAGGTCAGTGTGATGTCATAGGTTTCTGACTCTGGATGGAGGGACATCGGGAGGAGGAGCTGTGAGGTCTGTGTGATGTCATAGGATTCTCTGACTCTGGATGGAGGGACATTGGGAGGAGGAGCTGTGAGGTCGGTGTGATGTCATAGGATTCTCTGACTCTGGTTGGAGGGACATCGGGAGGAGAAGACTGTGAGGTCGGTGTGATGTCATAGGATTCTCTGACTCTGGTTGGAGGGACATTGGGAGGAGGAGCTGTGAGGTCGGTGTGATGTCATAGGATTCTCTGACTCTGGATGGAGGGACATTGGGAGGAGGAGCTGTGAGGTCAGTGTGATGTCATAGGATTCTGACTCTGGTTGGAGGACACTGAGAGGAGGAGCTGTGGGTGGCGCTCTGTGAGGTTTCTGTACACAGAATCATTTCTCCCGTGTTCTCCGGAGACTTTACTGATCACATTTCAGGACGAATATCTGAGACTGGGATCATTATGGAGAAATACGTTTTCAGGACATTTCCTACAAATGACATTTTCTCTCTTTCTTCCTAATTGAATCTTATAAAATAAAGATATACATATTCCAATCCCCCCGAAATAACCCCCCATCCCCCGCCACTGATAAAAGTCATATAATCCGTTAGTATAGACCAGTGGTCGGCAAGCCGCGGCTCGCGAGCCACATGCGGCTCTTTACAAGCTTAAATGCGGCTCTTCTGTGTGCCGGGCGCCCGCTCCCCTCCCTCCTCTCCCTCCTCTCGGACGGGCGTGTGCAGGGCGCCGCCCCCTCCCCTCCCTCCTCTCGGACGGCCGCCCGCTCCCCTCCCTCCTCTCGGGTGGCCGCCCCAAAAGTCAGGATTCTGCAGCTGTCAGGATGTAGGCGGGGGGCAGCCAGGATGTAGGCGGGGCAGCGTGACGAACTCCTCTCCTCTCACAGTCCGCCCTGAAGACCAGAACGGCGCGGGCAGCACGGCGAGAGGACGCGCGGGAGCAAAGGAAAGTGAATTGACACAGGGGGGACTTACTATATGGGGGATGAATTACTATATGGGGGACTTACTATATGGGGGGACTTACTATATGGGGGGGGACTTACTATATGGGGGATGAACTACTATATGGGGGACTTACTATATGGGGGGACTTACTATATGGGGGGGGACTTACTATATGGGGGGGGGACTTACTATATGGGGGACTTACTATATGGGGGGGGACTTACTATATGGGGGGGGACTTACTATATGGGGGATGAATTACTATATGGGGGATGAATTACGCTATATGGGAGATGAATTACTATAGGGGGGATGAATTACTATAGGGGGGATGAATTACTATATGGGGGATGAATTACTATGGGGGATGAATTACTATGGGGATGAATTACTATATGGGGGATGAATTACTATGGGGGATGAATTACTATGGGGGATGAATTACTATATGGGGGATGAATTACTATGGGGGATGAATTACTATATGGGGGATGAATTACTATATGGGAGATGAATTACTATATGGGAGATGAATTACTATATGGGGGATGAATTACTATAGGGGGGATGAATTACTATAGGGGGGATGAATTACTATATGGGGGATGAATTACTATGGGGGATGAATTACTATATGGGGGATGAATTACTATATGGGGGATGAATTACTATGGGGGATGAATTAATATGGGGGATGAATTACTATATGGGGGATGAATTACTATATGGGGGATGAATTACTATGGGGGATGAATTACTATGGGGGGATGAATTACTATGGGGGGGGATGAATTACTATGGGGGGGGGTGAATTACTATGGGGGGATGAATTACTATGGGGGATGAATTACTATATGGGGGATGAATTACTATGGGGGATGAATTAATATGGGGGATGAATTACTATATGGGGGATGAATTACTATAAGGGGGGGATGAATTGCTATGGGGGGATGAATTGCTATATGGGGGATGAATTACTATATGGGTGATTAATTACTCTATGGGGGATGAATTACTATATGGGGGATGAATTACTCTATGGGTGATGAATTACTCTATGGGGGATGAATTACTACTATATGGGGGATGAATTACTATATGGGGGATGAATTACTATATGGGAGATGTATTTTCAGTTTTAAAAATGTGGCTCTCAAAATAAAATTTCAATCGTGGTTTTGGCGAGATTTGGCTCAGTTGAAAAAAAAAGGGTTGCCCACCACTGGTATAGACTGATGGGGTGAGAAGGTGACCCATCTCCACAATGAGGAGAATGTTCCGGCCCCGGAGTGGGGGAATGTTGTGCCCCTGAAGGGGTTAATCTGGGTTCCCACACTATGTATGTGTGTATCATCATCTGCTGGAGATAAAAGACGTCACAGTGACTATGGAGGAAGAGGACGGACGTGACCATGGAGGAAGAGGACGGACGTGACTATGGAGGAAGAGGACGGACATGACAGGGGGTTACTGGGTGTAAATAGGAAATAACATCTTATTACCTCCTCTGCTGCCACTTCCACCGTCTCACCTACTCCGTGGTTGGAACTTCCTGTCTGTACCTGACATCACTTCCTGTCTCTCTCATAGAGACTTCCTGTCTGGGTAGAAGTGAGATCCCCACCTTGTGGAGCTCAGAGGAACTGCAGCCCCAAGAAGCGTCTGGTAGTGTGACCCCGGCCTTGTGCTGTGTGTGTATGGACTGTAGATCCTTATCCAGTTCCACGCCGCCCTATAGTAGAAATACTGCTACAGGGCAACACGGGTGCTCAAAATCATGTATATATACATGTGATTTTGCAGTTCCATGTAGGGGGCACACGCACCGCGCACGTACCTTACCCGCGCCGACATTCACTGCCTTGGCTGTCAATCACCGGGTCTCAGCTAGTAATTACTTGCCGACACCCGGTGATCCTTGATTATCTCTGACGGGGAGAGAACTGCATGTAAACAACATAGTTCTCTCCCCCCCTATCAGCTCCTGTACACTGCTTTGTATGACTCTGCATAGCAGAGCCGTGCACAGCAGTGTGCTTACAGTGTAAAGCACACACACAGCCCCAATAGTGAAACAGCACACAGTTAACCCTTTGATCGTCCCTCATGTTAACCCCTTCCTGCCCAGTGCCATTAGTACAGTGTCAGTGCTTTTTATTAGCACCGATCACTGAATTGGTGTCACTGGGATGTCAGTGACACCAAGTAAGTCCCCCCCAGTGTCAGAATGTCCGCCGCAGTCCCGCTATAAGTCGCTGATCGCTGCCATTAGTAGTAAAAAAAGAATAAATCCAGTATATATACCGCCATTTATAGATGCTATAACTTTCACGTAAACTAATTAATTTACACGTATTGGGATTTTTTCAGCAAAGACACGGAGCAGAATACATTTTGGCCTAAATTTATGGCAAAATTAGATTTTTTTACATTTTCTTACTGGACATGTTTAACATTGGTTTCTTTTTCAAAACTGTCGGTCTTTTTTTTGTTTATAGTGCAAAAAATAAAAAAACGCACAGGTGATCAAATACCACCAAGGGTCAAGAAGGTTGTTGTCAGTGCGGTAGGAGCTCAGGTGATTGTAGACTAAGCATTCTAGGAGTTTAGAGGAGAATGGGAGCAGGGAGATGGATCTTAAGTTGTTCAGGTTGGTGGGGTCCAGGGAGGGCTTGTTAAGTATGGGAGTGATGTGCACATGCTTTAGAGGGGAGGTGAAGGCACCAGTAGAGAGGGAGAGATTGAAGATGTGAGTGAGGGAGCATAGGATAGAAGAAGAGGATGACTGTAGTAATTGTGAGGGGACAGGATCCAGGGGGCAGGTGGTGAGACGGGCTTCTGAGAAAACCTTAGTGACCTCTTCGGTAGTAGCAAGGTCAAAAGAGGAAAGTGTTGAGGGAGGTTTAGTATAAGGTATGCTAAGTGGGATGGATGTCTGTGCAGTGGCGATGCCCCTAGGAATTGCATCAATCTTGTTTTTGAAATGATTTGCAATATCATAAGCAGTGAGTGAGGTGTTGGGTGGAGGTGGGGGGGTGGAGAAAGTAGAGAGTTAAAAGTAGAGAAGAGACAACGAGGACTGGATGACAACCTATTGATGAGAGTGACAAAGTAGGCTTGTTTGGAAGCATGGAGGGAGGAATTGGATGTGAAGAAAGCAGATTTATATCGGGTGAAAGCTTGCTGGGATTTAGTTTTAAGCCATGACTATGTCTCTTAAGATTTCTGGTGTGGTCAGTCTGCCAAGGTTGTACTGGTCGGGGCCTGATGCTTCGTGTTGTTAGAGGAGCAAGCGAGTCTAATGTGGATGAAAGTGAACTGTTATAGACAGCAGTGGCCAGGTCAGGGCAGGACAGGGGAGAGATTCTGTCATAGAGTTGGTCAGTTGCAGAGTGGAAAGGAGCAGGGTTCAAGTTGTGAAGGTTTCTGCGGGTAATTGTTTGCTGCTTGGAGGGATAGGTGTTTGAAGATGAGGACACTATGAAGGAGATGAGAATTGTGATCAGAGAGAGGAAAGGGGGTGTTTGTGAGGTTGTAGGGAGTGCAAAGACGGGAGAAAACAAGGTCTAATGTATTCCCATCAGAGTGAGTGGAGGACGGTGTCCATTGTGTTAAGGTAAAAGATGAGGTTAGGTTGAAGAGTCGGTTTCCTGGCCTGGTAAGCATTTGGGGGGGGGCACATTGTTTTTTAAAGTTTTTAATAGGAGCTCTTCTTTTGTTTGTATTTTGCTGTGAGTGGGGAATCCCGCTGAGAGAAGATGAGTCACTGGTTGTTAAGGATGCAGCAGATGATGGCTCCTAACAACCAGCTATTCACTGGTTGTAAAAGGCTCCGGCATCCGCCAGAGTTAAAATACCACACATTTTCACTACTAAAATACTGCATCGCTTCAAGAAAATGTAGCATTTTTTTTTTTGTAAATCAGAACCACTTGCAGAATTGAGTGATAATGATTCGTGGGGGAAATTCCTCATCAGACACTGAAAATTATTTTGCGACTTTGCTCAGCGATGTGCAAACGTGCGCTATATTTCAAATTTCAGTGTTTTTGGTTTGATTATATTATTGAATATTATTGAATCACATTTATTATTATTTTTTATGATTATTTATTATATTATAATTTATGATTTCGTGTTTCAAATTTTATCATACCCGGGATGTTTACTAGACTCTTGTTCGGACAGATTTCAGTGAGTTATTCCTAAAAATTACAGCCTACAATAAAAAAAAACATATTTCCATGCAAAAAATGTACCGCTTTGAGCACAGAAATACTGACATAATCAGACTGCTAGGGAGGCTACAGGATGAGTTTGCCTTTTGGACAAAAAAAAAAAAAAAAAATGCACATTTTTTTGCAGGTAAAAAAATGTGCATTTATTATTTTTGTTCAAAGGACCCTGGAATGCATTGCATCTGTGATCAGTAGATCACTGATACCATGTAGGTTTCCTGCAGACCTGTAAGAATATCGGCTTGCTGTATGGGATGTATGGGGTGGTACGAGGTATATGGGATGTACAGGGTGTATGGGGAAGTATGGGGTGTACGGGATGTACGGGGTGCACATGGTGTATGGGGATCTATGGGATGTATGGGGTGTACCAGGTGTATGGGGATGTACAGGGTGTACCAGGTGTACGGGGATGTATGGGATGTACAGGGTGTATGAGATGTAAGAGGTGTACAGAATGTATGGGATGTACAGAATGTGTGGGATGTACAGAATGTATGGGATGTACAGGGTGTATGGGGTGTACCAGGTGTACAGGGATGTATGGGGTGTATGAGATGTAAGAGGTGTACAGAATGTATGGGATGTACAGGGTGTACAGGATGTATGGGATGTACAGGGTGTATGGGATGTACAGGGTGTATGGGATGTACAGTGTATGGGGATGTACAGGGTGTACGGGATGTACATAGTGTACGGGGATGTATGGGATGTACAGGGTGTACTGGATGTACGGGGATGTACGGGGTGTATGAGATGTACGGGGTGTACAGGATGTATGGGATGTACAGGGTGTATGAGATGTACGGGGTGTACAGGATGTATGGGATGTATGGGGTGTACAGAATGTATAGGATGTATGGGGTGTACGGGATGTACAGGATGTATGGGATGTACAGGGTATATGGGGATGTACAGGGTGTACGGGGGTGTACGGGGACGTATGGGATGTACAGGGTTGTACTGGATGTACAGGGGGTATGAGATGTACGGGGTGTACAGAATGTATGGGATGTACAGGATGTATGGGATGTACGGGATGTACGGCCAAGCAGATATTCTGACAGGAAGCTTGAATAAACTACCATGGCGCGCCACAGAACCATGATAGTTCATTGAAAACTACAAGCTGACTGCCACTAAGGCGGTCTGGACTTGCAGTTCATTCATTCATGGAAGTCCATGAATGAATGACATGGCTGTGTGGGCGGAACCCCGCACGGCCACGCTGTTTTCAAATCTGACAGTACGGGGAAACTTCTCCCTGTATTATGTGTTAGAAGGGGGGACGGCAGGCGCGCCTGCAGCTATGGGAACATGTTACATGTTTCACCCTAAAAATGGGTGGAACACGTAACATGTTCCCAAAGGTGAACTTGTCCTTTATCCGATTCCCGCCCGGCCATTGACCATAACTGGCTGAACAAGACAAGTGGCATTTCACCAGAACTGTGCACCGTACGCGCCCATATATTCACCAGATCCTGTGACCACTATGTCCATTGATCCGAGGGTACTGGTCAGCTGCGCTCCGCCCTGGTACCATGTGATCACTGTGACCAATCACAGCAATCACATATCCAGTAGTAAACAATGGCTGTCTTTCACTGATAGGTCACAGTGTGTCAGGAAGAGCTCATACATGAAGTTGGTGCAGAACAATAAGGAGCTCTGTCTGTGGCCAATGTGTTGTGCGCACACAGGCATGAGCTTGCGCAGATACCAGGTGGGCTATTTAAACGGCACTATTACCCTGGGTCATTGCTTTTTGATCTACTACATTTCTTGTAAATCTGCTACCCATTCCTGTGTTGATCCTCTGTTGCTGACCTGATCTGCTCCTGACCCTGCCTGAATGCCACCTGCACTGACCCCTGGCTTGTTTCTTTTTTGCCTGCTGTTACCAATCCTGGCCTGACTCCTGACTACGCTTCTGCCTGCTGTCTGTATCTGATTTGCACCCTAGTTGATGACCCGGATTGCCTGACCCCACTTACAGAATTTTCCTCTGTGCCTGAACCTGCTGATCTGTGCCTGACTCTTGCTCTGGTCCACCTGCCAGTGAGCATCCAGTGTGCCATTACTGCGGTCTCTGGATGCATGGCCAGCTCATCAGCATCTGTCAGCAGAAGACCTGTCAGTGGGCCACTCTTTTCTCTGGTGTTCCTAAGCCAGAGGTGTAAGAAAAACCTAGCTCTACATGTCAGGCTCCACCACCAGGTATGTAACAGTGATCACATACAGGGCAAATCATATCAGAACTGTACCATGCGATAGCTGTAACCAATCACATCCATTACAGTATTTCTCAATGGCTGCATGAATGCAGCCGAGAACTGTCACACATGATTGCTTATATAGTTATCAAGGCCATATAAGCAATTGTAGTGCAAAAAAAAAAAAATCCTTAGAGCAGTGCGGTGTCAATGGTAACAGTGCACTGCTCTAGTGACAGTATGTAAAAAGAAAATCATAAAATAAAAAAAATTACAAAATAAAAAAGATTAATTTTTTTATACATACTGTCACCAGAGTAAGTCTACTGTCACTATTGTGATCATGTACAACGGCTGGCTGCTCTGATATTGCTGTATTTCAGTGTCACCAGCCATTATCAGTGCCACAGCAGTACAGTGTCACTAGTGTCCCTAATCCCCACCACACCAGTCAGTGTCCCTAATCACTGCCACCGACTCACAGTGTTCCCAGTCACAAGCACACCACTCACAGCATCCCTGATCACCACTAAACCCGTTAAAGTGTCCCTTATCAACCACCATACCAGTTCCAGTGTCCCTGAGCACCACCACTCTAGTCCCAGTATCCCTGATCAGTCACACCCAGGGGCAGACTGACAACTCATGGGGCCCCCGGGCAATAGGGGATCATGGGGCCCCTGTGTCCTTGCCCAAACTCAAAAAAGCCTATGAAAAAGGTACCAGGGGCATCTCATGGGCCCCCTACTGACCACAGGCCCTTGGGCAGTGCCCGAGTTTCCAAATGGTCAGTCCGCCCCTGGTCACACCAGTCATATTGTACCTGATCACAGCCACACCAGTTACAGTGTCCCTGCTCAATGGCACACCAGTTGCAGTGTCCCTGCTCAATGGCACACCAGTTGCAGTGTCCCTGCTCAATGGCACACCAGTTGCAATGTCCCTGCTCAATGGCACACCAGATGCAGTGTCCCTGCTCAATGGCACACCAGATACAGTGTCCCTGCTCAATGGCACACCAGATACAGTGTCCCTGCTCAATGGCACACCAGATACAGTGTCCCTGCTCAATGGCACACCAGATACAGTGTCCCTGCTCAATGGCACACCAGATTGCAGTGTCCCTGCTCAATGGCACACCAGTTGCAGTGTCCCTTTTCAATGGCACACCAGTCATATTGTCCCTGATCACCGCACACACCAGTTATAGTGTCCCTGCTCAATGGCACACCAGTCATATTGTCCCTGATCACCGCCACACCAGTTATAGTGTCCCTGCTCAATGGCACACCAGTCATATTGTCCATGATCACCGCCACACCAGTTGCAGTGTCTCTAAACACTTCCACACCAGTTACAGTGTCCCTGATCAGCACCACACCAATCACAATGTCATCATACAAGTGTAAGCCAGCAACAATGCCCCTGTCCATTGATTGTTGCCACACCAGCAGTGTCACCTGACCAGTGTAAGTCAGCAGTAGTGTTCCTAATTGCTTCCGCAATAGTTCTCAGTGTCACCAGACCAGTGCAGCCAGCAATAACTTTTGAGTGACCTAGCTGGACCTGAGTGTGGGAACTGAATGAGCTAGTTGGGCTTGGGATGGACTAATGAGTGAGCCAGCTTAGCCTGGGCTGGACAACTGAGGGGGTTAGCTGGGTGAGTGGGCTAGCTGGGCTTTGGCTAGACTGCTGAGTAGCCTATGGGGATTGGGCTGGACATGCTGGGTCTGAGCTTCACAGCTGAGTGGTCTAGTTGGACCTGGGCTTGAAAGCTGAGTGGGTTGGCTGGACCAGGGCTTTACAGCTGGGTGGGGCTAGCTGAGCCTGAGCTTGACTGCTAACTTGTCTATCTGGGCCTCAGCTTGACAGCTGGCTGGGCTAGCTGAACCTGGGGTGGACAGTTGGGTGGACTTGCTGGGTCTAAGTTTGACAGTTGGGTGGGCTGTCTGAGCCTAGCCTTGACAGCTGAGTGGGCTATTTGGGTTTGAGCTTGACAGCTGGATGGACTATATGGGCCAAGGCTTGACAGCTGAGTGTGCTAGCTTGGACTGGGCTGGACAGCTGAGTGTGCTAGCTTGGACTGGGCTGGACAGCTGAGTGTGCTAGCTTGATCTGGGCTGGACAGCTGAGTGTGCTAGCTTGAACTGGGCTGGACAGCTGAGTGTGCTAGCTTGATCTGGGCTGGACAGCTGAGTGTGCTAGCTTGATCTGGGCTGGACAGCTGAGTGTGCTAGCTTGATCTGGGCTGGACAGCTGAGTGTGCTAGCTTAGACTGGGCTGGACAGTTGGGTGGACTTGCTGGATCTGAGTTTGAGAGCCAGGTGGGCCAGCTGAGAATGGGCTTGACAGCCAAGTGGGCCAGATGGGTTTGAGCTTCAGAGCTGGATGAACTATCTGAACCTGGGCTTGACAGACTTTGTGGGTATGGCCTTGACAGCTGGGTGGGCTTGCTGGGTCTTGGCTTGACAGCATGGTGGAGTAGCTGGACCTAGTCTTGAAAGCTGAGTGAGCTACCTTGGGTCTGGTCTTGAAACAGGAGTGGGTTAGCTGAGCATGGGCATTATGGCTGGCTGGACAGATGACATTGGGAGGCTCAGACTGGAGGCCATTATTAAGTGACGGTTGACATCCTTCTCCACCCACTGTCTGAGCACACACAAGGAAAGGAGACATAAGAGAAGTTGGTAGATAGTCATTTTTGTCTCACTCAGCCCTTGGCTTCCTATGCATTTCTCCTGACCCACTGCCAATGTGGAGCCCCTCCCAGGAAAGGTCCAGGATGCAAGTGATGTGCAACCACTGTCAAGGGCACTGTCACTGAGAAGAACAGCCTCGAAAAATATCCATACACAAAAATATCTCCTTAGGCTCTTTCTCTCTGGACACAAATCACCATGTAAATGACGCAACTCTTTGGGGCAGCTCCAGTTAAATGGCCACCCAGAAAAATCCTATTATTTATTTCAGGCATTTGAAGTGTCGTCAATTTACTCAGCACTTGACATACTCTACGTTCACATCAGTCCCTGCCCTCAAGGAGCTTACAATCTAAAGTCCCTATCTCACCTGAATAAGAATACCAGCATAGACAGCAGCGAGGTAGCTACCAGAATGTCTTTGGAGCGTGGGAGGAAACCCACGCAAGCACAGACAGAAAATGCAAACTCCAAGCAGACAGTGTCCTGGGTAGGTTTTGAACAAACAACCCTAGTGAGGCAATTTATGGAGCTCGGGTTATCTGTGTGATAATAAAATTTGTTTGATGATCCAAATCATTTAATTATGACAAATATGCAAAGAAGCCAAAACAAAACCTCAAGAAGGGGCAAATACTTTTTCACAACACTGTACCTCTTTCATTTATTTCAGGTCCTTATATAGCGCCGTCAATTTACGCAGTGCTTTACATATATATTGTACATTCACATCAGTCCCTAACCCTCAAGGGGCGTACAATCTAAGGTCCCTAACTCACATTCATACATACACATACTAGGGACAATTTAGACAGGAGCCAATTAACCTACCAGCATGTCTTTGGAGTGTGGGAGGAAACTGGAGCACCCGAAGGAAACCCACACAAGCACAGGGAGAACATGCAACCTCCATGCAGGAGGCGCCATGGTCAGGAATCAAACCCACGGCCCATTTTCTGCAAGGCAGACGTGCTAACCACTAAGCTACTGTGCCACCCATAAGCTTTGGCTTATGGCAGGAAAGAGGTAAAATGGTTAGCACTTCCACCTGGCAGTACTTAGGTCACTGGTTCAAATCCCAGCAACGGCACCACCTGCCTGGAGTTTGCATGTTCTCCCTGTGCCTGCGTGGGTTTCCTCCGGGTACTCCTGTTTCCTCCCACACTCCAAAGACATGCTGGGAGGGTAATTGGTTCCTGTTTATATTGTCCCTAGTATGTGTATGTATGAATGTGAGTTAGGGACCTTAGATTGTACACCCCTTGAGGGTTAGGGACTGATGTGGATAACACACACACACGGTCGGGGTCACTCTACCAGATGGTTCTTGAGGCTGCAGTTCCTCTGAGCTCCACAGGGTGGTGATCTCACTTCTACACAGACAGGAAGTCTCTATGGAAAACAGGAAGTGATGACAGGTGTAAATAGGAAGTTCTGGGTGAGGTGGGAGGGAGTATAGAGGAGACGTTGGTGGAAGTGGCAGCAGAGGAGGTAATAAGATGTTATTTCCTATTTACACCCAGTAACCCCCGTCATGTCCGTCCTCTTCCCCCATGGTCACGTCCGTCCTCTCCCTCCATGGTCACGTCCGTCCTCTCCCTCCATGGTCACGTCCGTCCTCTCCCTCCATGGTCACGTCCGTCCTCTCCCTCCATGGTCACGTCCGTCCGTCTTCTCAATGGTCACGTCCGTCCTCTCCCTCCATGGTCACGTCCGTCCTCTCCCTCCATGGTCACGTCCGTCCTCTCCCTCCATGGTCACGTCCGTCCTCTCCCCCATGGTCACGTCCGTCCTCTCCCTCCATGGTCACGTCCGTCCTCTCCCTCCATGGTCACGTCCGTCCTCTCCCCCCATGGTCACGTCCGTCCTCTCCCCCCATGGTCACGTCCGTCCTCTCCCCCCATGGTCACGTCCGTCCTCTCCCTCCATGGTCACGTCCGTCCTCTTCCCCCATGGTCACGTCCGTCCTCTTCCCCCATGGTCACGTCCGTCCTCTTCCCCCATGGTCACGTCCGTCCTCTTCCCCCATGGTCACGTCCGTCCTCTTCCTCCATGGTCACGTCCGTCCTCTTCCTCCATGGTCACGTCCGTCCTCTTCCTCCATGGTCACGTCCGTCCTCTTCCTCCATGGTCACGTCCGTCCTCTTCCTCCATGGTCACGTCCGTCCTCTTCCTCCATGGTCACGTCCGTCCTCTTCCTCCATGGTCACGTCTGTCCTCTTCCTCCATGGTCACGTCCGTCCTCTTCCCCCATGGTCACGTCCGTCCTCTTCCCCATGGTCACGTCCGTCCTCTTCCTCCATGGTCACGTCCGTCCTCTTCCTCCATGGTCACGTCCGTCCTCTTCCTCCATGGTCACGTCCATCCTCTTCCCCCATAGTCACTGTGATGTCTTTTATCTCCAGCAGATGATGATACACACATATATAGTGTGGGAACCCAGATTAACCCCTTCAGGGGCACAACATTCCCCCACTTCCGGGGCCGGAACATTCTCCTCATTGTGGAGAGGGGTCATCCTTCTCATCCCATCAGTCTATACTAACGGATTATATGACTTTTATCAGTGTCGGGGGATGGGGGATTGGAATATGTATGTCTTTATTTTATAAGATTCAAATAAAAAGAGGGAAAATGTCATTTGGAGTCAGAGAATCCTATGACATCACACTGACCTCACAGCTCCTCCCAATGTCCCTCCATCCAGAGTCAGAGAATACTATGACATCACACTGACCTCACACCTCCTCTTCCTAAAATCCCTCCATCTCTTTTCTTTTTTTTTTATTCACCCTCTTGGAATGTGGCCGGACCCCTTGACACCCTCACTTGCAAAGCAGGATTGTTGGTCCTGCGTTGTATGTAATGATGTCAGAAAGCCTGCTTCAAGCTCATGGATGTTGGATTCCTATCGCCTGGGACATGTAGTTTCGTGCGCCGGGCAGGTAGATTTTTTTTTGCCTATCAGGTGGAAGCAATCGGGCAGCAGCGCTGCCGCCCGATTGCTAACACACAGCCCACAGTGTCAGCCTCTCCCCCGCTATATGTCCTGGGCTCCGCTTGCCCATCTGCGGGCCCGAGACTGGTTCGGCGGGTGCCGCGAGATATGGTATAGGGGAGGGAGGAGGAGAGCGGACACATCTGCTCCCCTCCTTCTCCTGATCCGTAAGTGATGTGACATCACTTCCGGCTCCCCGTTCAACAGATTCCCGGTCATTGAGGCCGGGAAAGAAGGTAATGCAGTGCGATGTGCACCGAATTACATTCAGTGTAGTATAGGGGAGCCATGCAGGGTCTTTTAGACCCTGGATGTCTCAAAAAGGAGAACCTGTCACCAAAAATAACCACTTTTTTTGTCCCGTATGTGATTAAAAGAAAAAAAAGTAAATTTTTTTTTTTTTTTTTTTTTTTTAAGTGAAAGTTACACCCAAGCATATAACACCCCCCAAATTTTTCAAGGCACCCCACCCTCA